CCAAACTGCCTGAACAATATCAAAAAACCCCTCCATCTCCACCCAGTAATTTTCAAATTTAAATATAGGAGATTTTGGGATTTTTGTGTCAATCTTCACTACACATGGCCCATGGTCACAGATGTTTCTGGTTAAAGGCAGCACTATTGTATTGGGATAATCCACTGTCCATAAAGCCGAACTAAACACCTAATCCAGTCGCTCAAGAAGTGGGTTCTGCTGCATATTGCTCCAGGTGAAATTTCTGCCTTTAAGAGGGATTTCTAGAAGGCCCACGGAGCTAATGATGTCATTAAAGATAAAAATGTCATTCATATCTGCCCCATCTTTATTTCTATCTTGCACAGATCTATAGAAATTAAAATCTCCCAAGAAAAGCCAATTCTGCTGATCATCAATATGAACATCCTTCATCCAAGAAACAAAATTTGTTCTTTCAAGGCATAGTGTCTTGAGGATGATCAGGTCCATCCGTTGACCCTAGTTCAATGTCATTCTTGTGCCATAGTATTAACTTATCGATGGCATCTTCAAGGTACACAATCTGCTCAGTAGTTAGAAAGTTGAGCTCGTGCATCCGGTAAGCCTCAATGACTGTTCGGACCTCTACCTTGGCGTAGTCTTCCGGAATGTCTTGGCAATGAAACTTGCGGCCTGGTATGAACCTTCTAGTTGCAACGAGTATTTTCTTTCCCGCCCTGCCGACCGGAATCAAGTGCTTGCACGGAGTATCCTTCGTTACATCATCGAAAGGATAGCTCGGCTCAGGCTCCAAAACCGCAACACCGTGCATCACTGTTTTGTCCATTTCTTCACCGCTTGCTGGTAACCGGTCGACACCGAATGATGTGGATATTCATTCCTTCTTGCTAGTTCAGCCATCTTTTGGCTCTTCTCCTTTTCTTCCGCCGATGTCGTAAGGGCAACGAACTCATCCCACTGGGCCTGTGTTATCCTTCCGTAGTCCTTAAATGGCGTGAGTCCCTTCTGTACATATTTCCTATTCAGGTCCATTTTCCAGTTTCACCACAGCTTCCCCATAGTCTTCAGCGCATAATCCTTGGCTTTATCATTGTCTGTCCCCTCTAGATATTCAAACTTGCTTTGTAGCAACGTCCAACAGTTGTTCTTTCTACTCTCGGAAACTTTCTTCCAATCCTTCCATGTGATCTCCATGATATCCCAAACCACCGCCCCACATTGGTTGCTATACTTGGAACATGAGTCTTCCAGTGATAGGGGTTCCCCTATCTCAGTCATCCATGTCAGCACGCTTGCTTCTTTCAACAGCATGTTCTTCCCTCGCTCGCCCCTCTTTTTCTTGGGTTTGCTTGAAGCTGTGGTGCGCACGGCAGCTGTAGCTTCAGCTTCGGTTGCGGCTTGGACTTTCCTTTTGGAGCATTCTTCTATATTTGCAATTCATGTGACTTCAATTAAAATCCATAGTTTGTACTTAATATGTTGGAACTAAACATATATTATATGTTACATACCACCGGTTCGGGGGGATTGTAGTCCGAGTCAACTTCATTGTCGCTACCGCCTTTTCTCGTCTTTGCAGGAGAAGGATGGGGGTCACTCGGCGAGTGATATGATCCACTGTCTGGTTCACTTGAGCTAGACGACGAAGATTCCTCCGCGACTACTTGCGTGCAAATATCTTCCTTGACGACAGCTTGAGTTTCCCTGACCTTGTCACCCGTGAGTTGCTCTTGGGTGGGTTTCTCCATTGATATTCTTTGAAGGTGAATTTATATTAGATGAGAAAAGGAATCGTTTTCTTATTGTAAGTCCGAATAGAAGGCAAAATTTAGATACTCGTTTTTTACTACAACTATAATAATGTTATCGCCAGCAAACTCCATGATTGCTTTCAACATCATTCATTTTCGGAACGTCATTCCCATAAATTCGGCAACCAAAGCTGGTGGTCCATTCTCATTAGCCATCCCATTTGCATGCTTCAGTCAGTTCGACAAACAAACAACATTTTCTTATATGTTTGAATGACATGGATAGTAAATAGAACTTAAAAGAATATACATTTTACGAATGATGTAGATAACATACATATAAATTCTAATTGTGATTTTTATCATAAATAACACAATGGTCTAAATAGATAAAAAAATGAATGTATCATTTAAAAGTTAAAAATTATGACGAGTTAAAATATATTGTTACAAATAAATATAAATTTTAGAAGGTTGTGGTTATTTAAAAATTATTGTTGCAAATATTTTCGTAAAGACAAAAAGGGAGAAAAAGCAATCAGGAGGATAAACTTTCTACAAAAGGTTATAATCCGTCACATAGAACCCTATAAATGCTCGTAGACCGTCATGTGGCACTCTAATAAATCATAGTAATTGTATAAAAGAAAGCAAAACATAGTAAATGTATAAAAGAAAGCAAAACATCACAAAACACTAGCTTTTTTTAAGTAGAGAACCAATCGGTTTTCATTTAATCTGGTGGACCCATTATTTTCAATTATTAGATCTATCTTAAAAACTACTAATTAAATTTATCTGTAAAAAGGCCCATGTCGTAATGCCACTACCGGCCAATATACATGTACGTTGGTACGTAGGTATTCCTTCTTAATAAAAGTACGTACCGACATATAGTACGTACACAGCTATTCCTATGTACAGTACGTACACACGCCGGGTCCCACATCCTTTTTTTCTTTTTTTTTCTTCTCATCATTTAGATTAGATGGAAAACCAAGCTAATAATTTAAACTAATATTAACAGTGCTTTAAGTTGTAAAAATATATGCTATTTCGAGTTATATTCAAATTAGGCTCATGTCATTGAAACACCTATAAAAAAGTATAGATAAATTAAAAGTATAGATTATGTGATAGTTAAATTAGACTTACATTTTCTAAAATAAAAACAACTTCATGTGTGTGTAGAATTTCAAAAATTACTCACTCTCTATTGTAGAAAATACTGATACGGTAAAAGGATGTTACTAAATTTATCATAAATATATTTTTATGTATTATGTGTTTACTCTATTCATATATTATTAGAAAATAGAAGATCAAATATATTCATTTGACACCATGTCAATATCCCTTTTCTCCTACGTAGCCTTCGTTTGATCTAGCTCATTGACTTTGCTTATCCAGGGCACACGAAAAGACACAAGTCATTAGCACAATATTAATCTAGTGTTATAGAAGCTTGAAAATGGATTTATTTGTATTTATACAAAATTTCTATAATAAAAAATATTTTGTAAAATACGCACCATTTAGCAATTCGGCAAAATGTGGTCATGGTAAATAATGAAGTAGGCACTCCAACAAGCACTTTAGAACTTAACCATAAATTTATTACTTATGCACTAAAACTAAATATGTAGTATATAATATACTTTGTGAATCAAGAATAGTATAATATATCAATCATATGTCCCCGATAAATCCTATGTAATAAGTTCTATACACAAACCAGTGTCAACAATCGTTAAATTATATTGTTTATGATACATCCATGCACAATGCACTTAGTAATTAGTTGACATCCAGTAAGCACGTGCGTCATCAAGCACCGAAGATATAGGATGATTCTAAGTGGGAACACATTAACAAAAAAAGATACATAAGTAGAGGATGTCACAAAATCACAACAAATAATAGTTGACTACTAGTAGATTGTGAGTATGAGCAATAGAGTACATATACTTCAACAAACACTTGTAAGATGACATGTGATTCTCCAATAAATAGGAGGAAATTTAAGAAAAAAATATAAGGGAAAACAAAACATCATTGTTGCAAAGGATGATGATAGGTAAGTTTACATATAACCGAAACAAAGTGATTTTTGTTTGAATATGATAGACACTATATATCATTTACTATATCGAATTATATGGTCTATTTCATGGTATAAATATTTCCTTCTTTAATGGTAAGCTTACAAAGTAATCTATTGTTCTTATAGTTAATATGATGATATATGACTTTTTTCAGTAGTTTTTTTTATATAAACAAAAAATAATTTGCCCGCGCATCTGCGCATGCTTCCTTCCTAGTTAAACATTATATTACTGTGTTTGCGATCCCGTGTTCCCAATCCCTCTCCCTTGTTTTCCACGCGTACGCTTTTCAAATTACTAAACGGTGTGTTTTTTGTAAAAAGTTTGTATACGAAAGTTGCTTAAAAAAATCATATTGATCTATTTTAGAAAAAAATTAGCAAATACTTAATTAATCACGCGCTAATGGATCGCTACGTTTTCCGTGCGGGGAGTTTAGTTCCCAACTTCCCATATCCTAACACAGCGATCAGTCCAAAGTACCTGGAGTTCAACTGCGATCTGCTGCCTTTTCCTATTCGATCCCAAACACTGAAGCAGAACTGCAGAGGAAGTCAGATAGTGCAGCAACTTGACTACATAACGGAACAACATTGGCGATTTCGGTTTAATTATAGCTCGATCCAAATGTTTCCCTGTCATAGGGTGTCATAGATAATGACTTAGCACCAAATGCATTGCTACTCTATCAATAATACTAGCAAGAAAGGGACAGGAAACATAAAAATGTCATGTCATCAGTGCAAGTCCAGTAGAAAGAAAAATGGAAAACGGAAAACGAAGGTACGCAGAAAAACTTGACTACACTAAGGCTGTGTTTAGTTACTTCCAAAGTTGAAAGTTTGAGTTAAAATTGGTACGATGTGACTGAAAAGCTATGTGTGTATGTCAGGTTGATGTGATGGAAAAAGTTGGAAGTTTGGATTAAAGACAGTCTAAATGAAAGTTCAAACTCCCGCCGTATTTCAGCGGGAACTATTTACCGTGCTATACCTTCTGTTTGTAGTGACTATGTACATGCCCGACTGCTGCCTGGCCAATTAAAGCCCTCCATTTGTAGTACTTGTTGACATATCTTTTGTAAATATCACACATACAATATTACTCATTGATATACTCCGTATCTTTGTAAACAAGGATACTACACACATACTACCTATTCCCCGGGGAGTAGGTGGGGGACCTGTGCTGATACTTGCGTCCTTAAGGTTGGCCGCTGTTGTCTCTCAACCGAATCGTTGATCGCGCGGACGACACCCCCATGTCGTGGACGCAGAGCGCTAAGGACGGCTGCCGCAGCCGAGCCAAGGCATCAGCGGATCGAGCGCGATTCTGCTCTGCGGGGAGCCCCGACGACTGGGGCGGGGTTGGAGGAGGAGAACAGCACGGCTGCCTGGCTTGCCTGGTTGTGGCTGCTGCTGCTACCGTTGAAGCTGTCGGTTCACCGGCAGCGCCTGCCACTGGATGGCGCTACTGCTCTGGGTGTTCAGCTGCTCGCTCTTCTCCTTGTGGATCCTCTCGTTCATGAGGTCCCAGGCCACCGAGGCGCGCCACGGGACGCTCGCCGTCATGTGCGACGAGCGCGCCCGGATCCTCCAGGACCAGGTGAAGGTGAGCATGAACCACCTCCAGGCGCTCGCCATCCTTGTCTCCACCTTCCACCACTCCAAGAGCCCGTCCGCCATCGACCAGACCACATTCGCGCGGTACGTGGAGCGCACCGCGTTCGAGCGTCCGCTGACGAGCGGGCTGGCGTACGCCGCTCGGGTGACGCACTCGGAGCGGGAGCTGTTCGAGCGGCAGCAAGCGTGGAGCATCAGAGCGATGAACTTCTCCTCCAAACGGCCGCGGGCGGAGGAGTACGCCCCGGTCATCTTCGCGCAGGACGCCTACAAGCACGTCGTCTCCATCGACATGCTCTCGGGGGCAGAAGACCGTGGAAATCTACTGCGAGCGAGAGAATCAGGCAAGGTTGTTCTAACTGCTCCTTTCCAGCTGCTCAATAAACGCATCGGAGTGGTCCTGACGTACGCAGTGTACAAGTCTGAGCTTCCCCTGAATGCGACGGTGCATGATCGTATACAGTCTTCTATAGGATACTTGGGTGGTGTCTTTGACATAGAAGGACATGTTGATAAGTTGCTTGAAAAGCTTGCAGGCAAAGAGCCCATGACGGTGAACATATACGACACTACCGGTGAGAGCATGATTCGTATGTATGGTTCTTCGAATGAATCAGCCAGTGGCATGTGTCATGTCAGCACGCTCGACTTCGGTGATCCATTAAGGAAGCACGAGATGCATTGCAGGTTCACGCAAGGGCCACCTTGGCCATGGCTGGCAGTAGCATCATCGTACGGAACCCTCGTGATTTCTTTACTTGTTGGATACATCTTTCATTTTACTGACAAATGGATTGCCAAAGTCGAAGATGGTTACAAGGCGACTGACATGCAGATGCCAGCAAAGGATGAATTCGCGGCCACAGAGAGGATTTCAGATATGGAAAGAGATCTGAAGGAAGATGCTCTGTTTTTCGACACGACCAAAAGCCCCAGTCTGTTGGAGATCTCGCGTCTGCTGAACCATCGTGATCCAGCTCAGAATGTTCACCAGGAGGAGCAAGAGCTCAACCTTCCATTGGAGGCGCAAGACAAACTGAAAGAGACTGAGAGGAAGCTGGGGAGGATGTCCAAGTTCATTACAAAGGTTATGAAATTAACTAGCGCTAGCATTCGCTGTTTACCTTCTCGATTTCACTGCTTCAACAAGAAGGTATGGAGCATTAGCCTTCTCGGATTTTTACTCTTCATTCTTGTCATTGGAGCTTTTGATCAGCCATACAATCAACCTTTGGGCATGGGAGGGGAGGGTGACAATAACATGATGCTGAAGAATTTTGGGTTCTCTCGTGGAAGGTTGTTAATTGATACGCTCCATGGTACATGGACTAAACGCGGTGTGCAGAGTAGTGACACGATCAGGGTTGATCTCAGAAAGATGACAAGGAATAATGACAGTTCTGGGCAGCAGCTCAAGCACTGGTCTTCACATAAGTCAAGTGAGATCCCGGCTGTCCTGTATGTTCCGATGAATGGAAAGCAAGTTATAGTCCACTGCAATCTAATTGTAGATGAGAAAGCATTGGTAAATTGGATATCAAATGGTGATACTGATCAGTCAAGCAAGTATCAGAAAGAAACTGCAGGGATACAAAACAGAACAGACAAGCCTCACCTGCCAGCAAACAAGTCACACAAAACAACAGTAAGCCCGTGGATTGTCTTACTTCCAGTTATCATGCTTGTACTCCTTGGCAGTATTATATGGCGCCGGTGCAACGACCATAGGAGGAGAGTTCAACAAAAAGAGCTGGAACTTTTGGGAATAATGGGGCCTAGTCGATTCCAACTACAAGATCTGGTAGCCGCAACGGGCAATTTCGCAGATGAGAACAAGCTCGGGCAAGGAGGGTTTGGCCCTGTGTACAAAGGCTACTTGAGGGACCAGGACCTTCATGTGGCCATCAAGGTGTTGTCCAGAAGGCAATCTTGTCAAGAACAATCGGCGCAAGGGTTGAGGGAGTTCAAGGCAGAGGTGAAAGTCATGACGCAACTGAGGCACAGAAACATTGTCAAGCTTGTGGGCTGGAGCGACAGCAAGAAACAGCTCCTTCTCGTTTATGAACTTATGGCTCAAGGAAGCCTTGACAAGCATCTCTACGACCCTGAGAAAATTTTAACTTGGCAACAAAGGTACCAAATTAAATTTGCTAACCTGTTTAATTCAACTGACAAGATTGTACTTGATCTGGGCTCTGCTTTGCTCTACCTCCACCATGACTGCGAGAAATGCATTGTGCATGGAGACATCAAGCCTGCAAATGTAATGCTTGATGTGTCACACAATGCTAAGCTTGGTGACTTCGGGTTAGCAAGGCTTGTTGAGCATGGGGGAGAGCCACAAACAACACAAGTTGTCGCAGGGACCCCTGGATACATTGACCCAGAATTCATCAACAACCGCTGGCCTCGCACCGAATTGGATGTGTACAGCTTCGGTATTGTCCTCTTAGAGATAGCTTGTGGCAAGCGGCCGGCATCGAGGCAGCTGCCAAATGGAGCTTCATCACTGCTAGCCTGGGTGCGTGATTTGTATGACCAGGGCAAGATTCTTGACGCAGCAGATCAGAGACTGAACGGCGAGTTCAATCAGCAGCAAATGGAGCGTGTGATCGTCATGGGTCTCTGCTGTTCACATCAAGACCCGATCCAGCGACCGTCTATCGTGCAAGCTATGGATGTTCTGTGATCTGCAGACGCAGAGTTGCCGGTACCTCCCGCAGCACATGATACAGGACACATCCGGTCCATGCAAGAACAGGCTTATGCCGACCTGCCAGTTGAGGATCATTCTGTGCATACTGTCACCCGAAGTACGTATTTTACTTCCAAGGATTCAGTTTATCTACTTGCTGAAGGATAACGAATTCTCTCTTTTGAATAGCAATATTAGTTATGTTTACATGCGCCTGTTTAGATTGTTTTGTCAACAAGATTGCTGATAGGCACACATCTATTTTGTTCATAGTTTTGTGCTATCTATCTATCTATTATCCATCTACACATGTAGTATAAATGATAGTTTCATATGAACCAGCTCTATTGTTAGCATTAATCCTGACTTACATATTTTAAATATCTGCAGTAGTTAGTCGTGTATGTGTGTCATGCACGTAGTGGAGTATTGCATATATGATGCATGCATATAGGAGATTAGATCTGTCACAGCCATGTACTTGGTGATTAGTTGACCGAGTAATTAGCTTGTGTAGTTAGTTGAGTGCGGCAAGTTAGCAGATAGTTAGTTGCATGCATGGTTAGTTGGACGAGTGGGTCTCGTAATGCATGGAGTTAGTGGCTCATGTATTCAGGTAGTGCGTGCGTGCGCATGAAGACCGGCAACAGTTCGTGCATGTAAGGCTATTTAAGCCGTGCTCTGATCCATTTTCAGTTAAGTGTGTGAGTCACAGATAAACAGAGAAAAGGGCATTTGTTGCCGCAAAGCTTGCTTGTGTTCCCTGTGTTCATCTGAGCCATCGCGTGTGTTGTGTGCTCGCGTGAGTTTACGCCGAAGGTAGTTCGTTGCTCCCCGGCAGTTTGATCCCTGGGCGAAAGTCAACATCTATTGTTGCAGCATTTTTTTTCTCATAAATTTAAGACGACGTGATTCAAGTAATTTTACTTTACAATTTTTAACAATCTGTGCTCTAGAATAACGCAGCCTAGCCCATCCAATCGGCACGTCCACTTATAAATATCACCTCACATACATCCTTAGTATACAAGAAAAAAAATACTCCATCCATCCCAATATAAGCATTCTTAGAATAGTGGCAAATCAAACTTTTAAATTTTGACTATTAATAGCAAACGAACAAAAACAGATCAATCATGTAAATTTGATGTTACTAGATTTGTTATTAAGCAAATTATCATAATGTGTAACTTTTTTTATTTAAAACATCTTACTTTTATAGATATTGTTGATCAATGTAGCATCTCGAAGACATTGTCGAAGTCCAACAATGCTTATATTTTGGGACGGAGAGAGTATTACTTAAAATTTTAAATTAGAGAAAATCCATAAAATGCCATCGTACAAGTCTTTTTCTTCCAGAAATGCCATCGCCATCAACGCACCATTGATTCCACACCATTACAACCATAAATTTGACCAAATTACCCTCCGTTCAAAATTCCTCCTCATCGTCGGCGAAGCAGATCTTGACTCCCAGCCTGATGCAGTAATCCTGAAAATCGGCACTGATGAACTGGGAGCCGTTGTCCGTTATGATACGGTGGGGCAATCCGAATCTGCAGAATATCCCTTTGATGAATTTGATGGCGTTGTCGGCCTTGATTTCCCTCGTGGGTGTCGCTTCAATCCACTTAGTGAATTTGTCGATCGCCACGAATAGGAACCTGCAGCCGCCCTATCCTCGTGGGAATAGCCCGAGAATATCTAGCCCCCAGCACGAGAACGGCCAAGTGAGAGGGATAGTCTGAAGTGCTTGCGCTGGTAGCCTTGTGTGTTTACTGTAGAATTGATAGGCTTCACACCGCTGAATCATGTCGCAGGCGTCTTTAAGGGCGGTTGGCCAGAAGAACCCTTGTCGAAAAGCTTTTCCGACTAATGTCCGACCGGCGGCATGTGATCCACGGATTCCTTCATGTATGTCAAGGAGGAGGTGTCTGTCGTCGTCGGACGAGACGCATTTTAGAAGTACCCCGTTTGGTGCCTTCTTGTATAGATCGTTGCCGATCATACAGTAGACTTTTGCTTTACGGGATATTTTCTTGGCTTCTGTGTCGTCCTCGGGCAACTCTTCACTGCCTATGAATTTAATGAGTGGGGTGTGCCAGTCATCTGTGCTCTCGATATCGGCAACGGCGCGCTCTGCCTCTGTAGCCCCCGAGCTGATGTTAGGGGTGACCGGGCTATCTTCGCCGCTTGCCTCTTTCACTGATGGCCTGGTCAGGAAAGGTGCCAGGTTCAATTGGCTGTGGCTCTCGTCTGGACGCACGCCGTGCTAGATCATCCGGTTCGATGTTGTCTTTGTGGTATACATGTCAGACCTCGATCCCATCGAACCTTTTTTCCAGCTTCCTGACTTCTGCGAGATACTTGGATAACTCGGGGCTAGAGCACTTGTAATCTTTATTCACCTGGTTCGCGACTAGTTCGGAATCCCCTTTCACAATTAGTCGCCTAACTCCGAGTGCAGCTGCAGCTCTTATCCCGGCGAGTAGTCCTTCGTACTCGGCTGTGTTATTGGTCGCCCTGAAGTTGAGGTGAATTGCATGCTTGAATTGATCTCCCGAAGGTGATGTCAAGATGAATCCTGCCCCTGCTCCTTGGCTGTTGAGTGCGCCGTCGAACGCCATTGTCCACCTTTCGTTGTCAATTTGGTTGTCTGACCTGTTATCAGGCATAGTCCAATCGGCTACGAAGTCGGCAAGTACCTGGGACTTGATGGCTGTTCGTGGCACAAAGCGGATGTCAAATTGGCTTAGCTCGACTACCCATTTCACAATGCGGCCGAGAACGTCTTTGTTTCTCACTACTTCACCGAGAGGGCAGGAGGATACAACTGTAACCCTGTGGGCTTGGAAGTAGTGGCGTAGCTTTCTTGATGTCATGATTACCGCGTAGAGCAATTTTTGGATCTGTGGATATCTTGTCTTTGTGTCGTGGAGAGCGTCGCTAACGTAGTAGACTGGTTGTTGCACCTTCTCTCTCTCGACAACAATGACAGTGCTAACGGAATATGGCGTGGCGGCAATATAGAGAAATAATTCTTCATTAGGTTGGGGGGCAACAAGTATAGGGGGATTTGATAGGTAGCGCTTGAGTGCAATGAATGCCTCTTTGGCTTCCTGTGTCCATACAAATTTGTCTTGCTTCTTTAGCAGAGCGAAGAAAGGTTGTCCTCGCTCTCCCATCCTAGCGACGAACCTGCTTAATGCCGCCATATATCCGGTTAACTTCTGTACTTCCTTGAGTCTTGTAGGCGACTTCATGTTCTTGATTGCCTTGATCTTCTCGGGATTTGCTTATATTCCTCTGCCAGAGACGAGGAAACCGAGTAGCTTGCCCGATGGTACTCCAAACATGCACTTCTCTGAATTGAGCATGAGGCGATATCGTCGGAGGCTGTCGAACGTTTCATGTAATTTGAGAGAAACATTCCTTTGATCTTCTACTCTTGAGTATGGAGTTAGCAAAACAAAGAAAGATCAAAACAATTGAGTATGGAGTTACCAAAACAAAGAAAGATCAAAACAATTTAGAAGTTTAGTTGCACTACCGTCGTAGCCGCCGACATAATTCACGGCTAAGCTGAATGCCTTGTAGTAATGATGGCCTTGTCAATTCTAGTTGGATCTGACAAGGTAGTGCCCCATTACCTAGTGGCGATTGCTTCATTAGTGTTTGATACTAGTTGAAAACCAAAATGCTGAATGAGGGAGGTTGTCTGAATAGGTGGAAACATTGATGACATATGAGAAAGCATGTGGTACATTTTTTTTACTACAGTTTAGGTCTTATCAAATCTAATTGGATATGACAAGGGAGTCGCTGCTCACCATTACCTAGTGTCCGTTTCTAATTGTTGAAAGTCAAAATGCTGGAAGAGGGTGGTTTTTTGGAATAGGTGCAAACAGTGGTGACATATGAGAAGCATGCTTTTTTTTTAACCAACAGTAGAGCTTAATCCAGTTTCCACCAAGTTTCCTCTGTTAAAACTTTCCCTTGTTAGGTTCGCAGCCGCGCGCGAGCGGAGTGGCTCGGTTTCGAGGGATGCAGCTCGGTTTGGCTAGGGTTAGGGGCGGCACGGATTGAAGGAGGAGGTGATGCGGGCGAGCAGGAGCTGCGCAACGGCGGTGATGCGGTGGAGGCGGGGTGGGAGGAGGTCTCGCTCGTTAAGCCGCCACTACAGCTTCCCTCTTGCACAGCAACCGAGGCAGCGTTGAAGTCGGAGTCAGCGTTGGAGGCAGCGGTGGCGGCGGCGCAGGTGGAGGGAAGCGGCGGAGCGAGCGGGAGCGGGGAGGGTAGCGCCGACAAGTGGCGTGGGGAGGCAGAGGGAAGAGGCGCGCGGCGTGAGGAGCGCGGCGCAGGCGGAGAGAAGCGGCCGAGAAAGCGGTGGTTTGTGGGTTTTCTCGTTTCTTTTTCTTTTTCTTTCTCCCGGACGACGTGGGTTCGGTTTGTGGAGACGTGATAAGGAGTGGGTCCAGGTGGCTGGGTGGGTTGGATCCAGGATTGTAGGATTGCAGGATTGTGGATGAACTCATACTTTTTATATTAGTAGAGATGTACCAAACATTACATAAGTTTGTTTGGTGCGCGGTATCTCCACATGTGTACTTATCTGATTGCAGGCTCTATCTGCACCCACGTCCACGTCCATACATGCAATAATCATGTGGTTTATGACAATCAAACGGCTCACCGACGTGTTGTTGGTTAACGCCAAATCGTGCGCGCGCACACTAATCAAATTTTGCGATTATGGAACGGTAAACGTTGCAAGGCAGGCATAATAATTGTACTAGCTGACAACAGCAAGTAGTTACCGAAGCCGTCCGGAAAGACACGGCACAGAAAAATGAAGTTACGGAAGAGATCGTTTTCTTTCGGGTGAGTTTTGCTTCGGGCTCAGTTTAGTTCTCGATGTTTTAAATCATCCAAACAAGTCCTCCAAATTAATCATTTGGGTTAATATAGTCTTTGGACCTAAAAACAAATGCTACGTGAGTATGCCAAGTCATCCTCGCATGCAGCGTTATGAATGAAATTAGCATTCTACCCTTATATATCATATCATATAGAAAAGAAAGAAAAGATACAAACAGAAATCGTAAGTGACAAAGGAATTTATACGATCAGTGCTTGGCTACAGCAATCGCAAGTGACAATTCTATAACGATCATACATGTGTGAAACAACTATCTTCTTTTTTTCTTTCTTTTCTATTGGTACATAAGGGTAGAATGGTCATTTCATTCATACCGTTGCATGTGAGGATGATTTGGCATGCTCACGTGACACTTTTTGTGGGTCCAAGTACTATATTAACCCAAATGATTAATTTGGAGAACTAGTTTAGACAATTTAAAACCTCAAGTACTAAACTAAGTCCGAAACGAAACTTCAGAGACCGTATTAGCTATTCACCCTTTTCTTTTCCCCACAAGCTCTTAATGGCCTCTACGTACCCTTCCATCTGGGAATTGAACTATTGATGTATAAAATTCCTTTGAAACCATAATGTGATATTTTGCATATTCCAGATAGGGCGCAAATTAATTAGGAACAAAGCTAAATTTCGGCGGAGTACGTAAACATATCTGTGTGAGCTTTATTACATAGTTTAATTGATGAGATAACTATCAGTAAAATATTGGTCCTGGTAAACGTATTGACTAGAATTGGTCCATCGATCGATCTTGAGATAATATAGAGTAATTTTTCTCTAGGTCTGCATACGCATGTTGTTCATTATCGTGCGTACGTGCATCTTATTACGTCTGATAATTTGTGATAATATATAATTCAGGGTAAGAATATCCTGCTGTGTGCTGACCATTGACTTCTTTAGGTTGGATTAATCATAATTATTGTTTCGCTTATGTTGATATTATAAACCTTACAGGCTTATAATATCATCATTATTGTTTAGCCCAAAAAATGGAAAAGAGGTTAGGAAATTGGTCTGGTTGTTCTGTCTCTCATGCAGGGAGAGCTGTACATATCAATGCCTGTCTCTCATCGATTCCCTCGTATGCTATGGGGTTCTATCAGCTGTATGAGGGGATTCATCAGAAATTTAATTCAATTCGAGGTAGATACTGCTGGGCTGGTAACAAACAAGGGAGAAAATACCATATGATGAAATGGGCAGATTTGATCTTCCCAAAAGAGTTTGTAGGGTTGGGTCTTACTGAAACTAGAATGTTTAACATTGCTTTGTTGGCTAAATGGTTGGTTAAGGTTGAATCTCCTGATGGTAGTCTCTGTTTTGAGCTATTAAGAAAGAAATACTTGTGTTCTGGGGGAGTCTTTCAGTGCTCTACTGAAGGTGCTTCTCAGTTTTGGTCTGGGATTCTTAATACAAGAAAATGAATGATGCTTGGTTCTGAATTGAATAGAAGATTGGTGATGGTTCCCATATTTGGTTCTGGCTAGATGTTTGGTATGGGTCTTGCCCTCTGAAAACAAGTTTTCATGAGATTTTTGAGATATGCAACCAACAATCAATCACAATTCTGAGCTGAAACAGATAGGTATAGGTGGTTTATCTTTTAGGAGAACTTTTGGCCCTCTGGAACTTGACCAATGGCAGCAGGTTAGGACAATCCTAGAAGAGCTAGAGTTGACTGACTCTCCTGATATTTTGAAATGGGGTTTGACAGCTAGTAAGAGATTTACTACCAACTCTTTATACAGAGCTATGGCTTTTAGATGGGTGAAAGATGAGATGCTACAACTAATCTGGAAATCTCCCTGTCCCATAAAAATTAAACATTTCCTTTGGTTGGCAAGTAGAGATAGGATCCAATCTTGTGAACAATTGAAAAAGAAAGGTTGGGATGGTTCAGAACTTTGTATGCTATGCAATACTATTGAATCTACCAATCACATTCTTTTAACTGTCCAATGGCAATTTTTGCTTGCTGCATTTGTAGAGATGTTGTGAACTGGGATACTGTCCCCTGCAGCTTTGAAGAGTTTTTCTTGCTAATAAAACATAATGCTTGTAGTAATAGAAGAGCTTTGGTTTCTTTGCTTGCTGCTATCTGTTGGGTTCTTTGGACCACAAGAAACAATATGATATTCAGATCTCAATTGGTGTATTCCCCCCTAATGCTTCCTTTTTGTATTGCTTCTTATTTGCTGCAGTGGAAGGTTTTAGGGCATACTGAAGAAGCTAGCACGATGATGGTTGTGGCAGAGAAGATGAAGACCGCTGCTGCCAACTCTGAAAGTGATAGGCTGGGTATTGGGTGATAGATTAGTTAAGAGGTTCCCTAAGTTGTGGCACTATCCTCTATCTACTGAAGTTGTGATGTTTGAAATCTGCTTGTACTGGCAGCCCTTTTGGTTCTTTTAGTTGTGTTGCTGCTTTTAGAGCTGGTAGTAAGTTTTGGAGTCTGTCTGTTTTCCTTTAGGAGGGCTTTGACCCTCCCTACGCTGTAAACCTGGTGTCTAGATTTTCCCAGCACAAACCTTTTGGCTTTCAATAGGCTTATGAGCAATAAAAAATAATTCTTAATGATAATATGTTTCTTAGCAATTTAAAAGAAAATGTTAGAAAATAAACTACAACGAAAGAAAACATAAGATCAACTCCAAACTGATGTTTAAAATTCAAAATTTGAATGTGGCGTAATTATAAGCCGAAGGGTAATCAGTGGGTGGCTAGCTAGGAGCATGTCACCATTGAAAGCCCGTTAATGGAGAGATATTGAAAGATAACCTATTATCGTACCCTGCTGACAACCAAATTAAGCTAGTTCAAATTAATGAAGTTTGGAGCCAACAGTTGATCACGCACACCGACTGGGCAACTGACATGCATGCAATCTCTACTATGGGCTCCTTCAGAATTTATTCCATCAATTTTCCCCTTTTGTTGAATTTGTTGGTTGGCTGGTTATGATTTTTTAGGGCTATTTTTCGCACCATTGACTATTGATTAGAAATACCTGGCAAGCTAAGTAATCAATTTGCATTTGACGTACTGTAAATCTGTAATCAGGGTGTGAAAAACCGCCGGTAACCGCGCGGTTACCGCGGTTACCGCCCGTACCGCGGGGGTACGGTTACCCGTACCGCGCGGTACGGTTTAATAAAATTCGTCCAAATTCAAAAATTTAAAAAAAAAGAAAAAAATCAAAAAAAATAGTGAAGGTAGTGCTTGATTTATAGTGTTTTATGGTGAAGAAATTTCTCAAAAAAGAGTAATATTTATTCAAATTTGAGAGCAAAACGGAGAATAAATTTGAAAATTGGAAAAAGAAAAAAAAATGGGCCGGCCCGTTACTGTGCAACCCATTACACATCGCGCGGTAACCGCGCCAAACCGCGTGGTTACCGCGTCAAACCGCGCGGTAACCGCGCCAAACCGCGCGGTTTGCCCGAATTTTTGAATTCAAATTTCGATTTGTAAATTTGTCGCGGTTTTGCGCGGTTACCGCGGTTACCGCCGTACCGCCGGGTGGCGGTAACCGGGCCCCCAGCGGTTTTTGAAACCCTGACTGTAATCGTATATCTGTTATTGTAATGGAGATCAACATGAATGTATCGGAGTTGACTTGACTCATTGCATTTAGACTTGCAATGCAAGGAGAATATATATCACATGCATCATGGATATGATTAATTAAAATCCTTGTGCTGCACTGCTGGCTAAGCTAGTTGCTGGGCCATTTTACTTAATTTGGTACGTACAAACTGCATGGAGAAAATTATTTAATGACGTTGTCTCAGGTGATTTATATATGTGTGTGTTTAACTAAATCAGAAGCTATATTTGACCTTACAAGCACAAGAGGAATAACGGCACATAGTTTGAATGAACTAATATATTATGTCATACCACCCTCCATCTTTGAAGTCAATACAGAGATATGATAAACGACGAATACGGTGCATGTTACCTGCACGCAAAATCCAGTGATCGATACACACAGATATATACAAGTACATATATTAGCAAGCTTCAGCATCAGTTGCCTAGCTATAAATAGCGTCATTGCCTGAAATTTTCCCTATCACATCTCACATCTTAATTCCTCTTCTGACCAAGATCCAAAGAAAGTTACAAAGCCCATATGATGGTGGCCTCCCCTGTGAAGGTGGCCGTCGTCGCCGCCGTGTGCGTCGTGCTGGTCGTGCTGTCTTCTTCCCCGGCGCCGGCGGCGGCGCAGATGATCTGCAGCAAGTGTGACCAGTACTGCAACTCGTCGTGCGCCGGTGGGATGGGTGGCTGCAGCGGCGCCTGCACTGACCCAGCGTCCTCCTCATGCACGAGCTGCAAGCAGGCCTACTACTACAAGTGCATGAACTACTGCGGCTCCTACTGCCGCTCCAACTGCGTCAACAGCTGAACCAAATATTATATGCGAATTCTCCCCCTGAATTAGAAGCTTGTTGCTATGGCTCCATGTAGATAAATAAGCGAATGCTAGCTGCATGCGCGCTTGTGCTTGCATATGGTGGATGTATGCCCCTACTATGTACAACTTCATATATATATGTGAAAGTTGCATGTGTCTTCTGTCGAAAAATGTTCCGTCGTTTCTTGTACGTAACTCGGTCAATCAGTTATGAAAGATCGAATGTAATAAAATTTAACAGAATAGATTATGATCTATGCGATATCACTTTACAAACATATGCACGTAATTTCTATCTGCAAGCTGTTTTAACCGTAAGTACAAATATATACTCCGTTAAGTAGTATGCACATATCGATCCGCAACCAGTGGGCCGTGCCTGCCCAGTCTGTTTGCATCTCCTTCTTGGGCCAACACCTCATCTTGTAGGTCGGCACGGGTTTGGCCTTGCCAGCCCATATACTTTTTCCATGTAATTTTCTCAATTTTCCCGATTTCCTTCATATATTCCTCATATTTATCCTATCTTTCCAACATATTTTCTATATTTCCTAAATTTTTCCCTTTTTTCCCTCAAATTTCAGTTTTTTGTGGACCACGGCAACTGGTGGGTCGGCCGACAGCCCGTTTTTTAGGGTTTGCAATTTTGCCCCCACTTTTCCAAAACAAACAAGTCGTTTGCCCTTACTTTTAACGGCTGTTCGATAGACCCCACATTTTTGTGTTACAGAAAGGCAAATGAAAAAATCAAAAAAGTGTGCAGTGAATAGATAGGGATTGAGTCCTCTCCTGCCCACCGAGTGTGCAGTGAACAACAAAACCCTAGACCTACACGGCGGCGGCGGCGAGCGTGGGACGACACTCCGGCAAGTCTCCGGCAGGGCGGCGGCCACGGGGCTTCCTACGGCAGCCCTCCTAGGCGTGGAGAGTCAGGGCAACGTGACTTCCTGTGGCAACCGCTCCCAGACGCTACACGGCAGGGCAGGCTCGTCTTCCTGTGGAGAGCGGTGGCCAGGCGCGACGAGCGACGGCCAGTCACGGCGGCTAGGGCGTGGGGCTTGCTGCGCCCTTGCGCGGCAAATGGGGTGATTTCTTATAGATAGAAAGGAGGGAAAGATACATAAGTTAGATTGCAAATCTCCTAAGTATTTGAAGATCTTATGCTAGAAATTCTCCAAAATGTAGAGGAATTTCTCTATATATCCTATGAAATTCCTTTGACATCTGTAAAACCAATTCTTTCCTTTCCTCCAAAAAAAAATATTACACTAGCTATATCAGCCCTAAATGGAGACATGGACTGTTTATCCATTTTTGAATATTTATATGCAAGCTTACGTAAAACGACTTATATTTATTAGGAACAATTTTGTTTTGCTCCTACTTTAATGTTCAATTATGGTTTTGCTCGTGTTTTTTTTCGAGTTTTGGGTTTTTTGCCCATTTTTTTCAAATGAAGGAGGTGTTTACTCTTTTTTTATGGAAGTTAGTGGACCCGGCCCGGAAACTGGAATTGTTAAGATAACAAAATAATAAGAATAAAGAGGAATAATCATTTTGGAATTTATTGATTTACCTTTCTACCCCTGATATACGTAAAAGAAGAAAATGAGAGCAGAAATCTGTCTCCTCAATCGGCCCTGACGCTGTTTCCCCTATTCCCGAACCATACGGTCCAGGCGACGACAGCGACCTGCCTAGGTGGCAGTGGCCGGGAGACGGCAGCAGCGGTGGCGGCGGCAGCCACCCAGCCAGCAAGGTGGCCGGAGTAGTTGGCCGTGGTAGCGAACCCTGTACATGGCGGGCGGGGAGCAGGTGGCAACAGCGGCGACTCCGCAGGCAGCCTCGGCGATGACCAATGTGACCAGCGGCGGGGAGGAGAAGGTCGCGGCGATGACTCCGTAGGCAGAGCGCGGGGAGCAGGCAGCCTAGGTGAACGTGATCCTGCAGCCGTCGGCTCGACTCAGCAGTGAAGGAGCAGCCTGTCAAAGTGCTGTGACTACTTCTGCTAGCTGTGTAAAAAGATGTAAAAATTATGTTTTCTTTTACTGGAAAAATTATGTTTAATTTCTACTATCAAATTTGTGATAGTTCTATTGATATTCTGTCAAAATTGTTATATTTGTCAAAGGTTGTCAAAAATCATTTGATTTTAAACATCTTTAAAAAAAATCAAGTTCACTAGTACACAAATACTCATTGGTGCTGGTTAGAAACCGTCTATAGGTGCCGGTTTCCCAACCGACATATATAATAGCAACCGGCACCTATTAGAAATATACAGCCGGCATCTTAAGCTTTGCTCGAGCAAAAAAAAAAAAAAAAAAAAAAAAAAAAAAAAAAAAAAAAAAGAGAGAGCCGGCTCATTCGAGTCGAACTCACCAACCTCACATCCCATTCATCACCGCCTCCTGGATCACATCATCAAGAACTCAACAGCAAACCTGGATCACATCATCAAGTACTCAACAGCAAACCAACAGCGAACCACCGGCCAAACTTAACAACAATCACATTAATTGAAATCCTACATGCATCAAGAACTCAACAAGTTCACATACATTTGGGACATGGATCAAGGAGGAGAAAAGAGAGGAAGACCTAAACAAGAACTCAAAAACAGTGCGCCACCGCTGCCGCATGAACTAAACAAGAATAAAAAAAAAACTAAACAGTGCGTTGCCGCTTCCGCATGAACTTGGGCCGCCGCTGCTGCCTCCGCCGGACCGCCGCTCGGTTGCCACCGCCTGAGAGAAGAGAGAGAGAGGCCACCCGACTGCCTCCGCCTGGCCGCCACCCATGGCCTGCCTTCTCCCTTCCCGCCGGACCAGGGAGGCCGCCCACCACCCGCCGTGCGCCACCGTGGGGGCTAGAGGTGCCGCCCCAAGCCCGCCCCAGATGCAGATAGCTAGAAGGGAGAGAAGAGAAGAACATGGGAGAGAGAAGAGAAGAGCCCGCCGCCACCCTGCCTCCACTGGGCAGCCGCTGCGAGAGAGACGGGTACAGAGACGCGAGAGAGAGAGAGGGAGAGATATGCGAGAGATAGGAAAGGCGAGGGAGTAGATAAGGACGCGCGGTGGGTGCAGTGCGCATGCGTGCGCGGATGGTCTCGGCTCGTCGGCTTGGCTCAAAGTTATAGGTGCCGGTTTTTAAAAACAACATATAGGTGTCTGTTCTTTAAGTCTTTAATTAACCGACACCTATAATATATTATATGTGCCGGTTCTTTTAAAAAACTGGCACCTATAGTATATGTGCCGGTTCTAACATGGTTAAAGGTGCCGGTTCTATATTTTTTCATTGCTCGGAGGTGGGAAATGCTCTATAGATGCTGGTTTTAAATGAACCGGCACCTATGAGCTAGTCCCTATGAGGGTTTTTTAGTAGTGGTTGCGAGCTGCATTTACAATATTAGGGGGAAAAACACAACTAATGCACAAATAAAGGGACAATTTTGTAACAGTAAGTAAAGACATATATACCTTTTCACTTCACACCGTCAACATATCCCTCCAAAATAAAGATAAAATTTGGCTCCGTTTAAAAGAACTGGGGAAAAAATCTTTAAAAAAAACAGGGGCACATATCCAAGTAGGGGTAAAAATAAAATTACCGCCACTACCGGAGAAATGATCTTTGTTGGGTCACTCAAAAATCACATTAGTCCTGGTTTGAAAACACACCGGTATTTTTTTATCTTTAGTCCCGGTTAGTAACACCAACTGAAACTAAATATTAATTTTACTCTCGATTCAAAAACATGTCAAAGCCCTATTTTTTAGTCCCGGTTGGTGTTATCAACCGGGACTAAAAATAGATCTTTAATCCCGATTGTTTATACCATCCGGGAGCAAATTAAGTTAAAAAAAAAATAGTGCACCACCGAGCCATGCGCGCCTCATCATATTTAGTCCCGGTTGTTTATACCAACCAGGAGCAAAGTTAAAAAAAAACCGAGCACCACCTAGCCGCATGCGCCTCGTCCTCCCCGCCTCATCCTTATCCCCTCCACTCCAACTCTTCTTCCAGTCTCATCCTCTCATCTCCCCTCCATTTTCTCTAACTCCTTCATCTCCTCCAGCCCTCCCCCTCTCCTCCCCTTCCTCCCCCTTCCCCTCTCCTCCCCCTCCCCCCTCCCTCCTCTGACGTCGACGACGGTGACAGCGGGCGCCCCGCAGCGCACGAAGCGGCAGCGGCGCACGGCCGGCGGCCTACCCTCCGCCATATCCGGTGGGAGGGAGGCCGGGCAGCGGCGGCCTAGCGGAGGCGGCCGGGTGGCGGCGGTCGAGGGGCGGAGGCCGGGAGGCGGCACACGGCCGGGTGGCCGGCGGTGGCGTGTTTTCTGATTTTTTTTTGAATGATTTGTAATTTTTGTTGTAGTTTATTTTAGATTTGAGGATGATTTGTTGTGCATGATTTCTGAATGACTTGTGGATTGTGGATGATTTCGTGGATGGGCTGAGAATTGTGCATGATTTGGGGATGACTTGTTGTGCATGATTTGGGGGTGATTTGTGTGATTTGGGGATGATTTGTGGGGATTTGAGGGTGATAATAAATGCAAGAATAAAAACAAAAAAAGGAAACCGGACTAAAATGGCGCTAGAATCTTTAGTCCCGGGGACTAAAGATCCATTTTTACTCTGGGTTATTTCATCCGGGACTAAAGATGGGTATCTTTAGTCCCGAATTGGACGTCTCGGTTCATTACCCGGGAGTAAAGGGGGTTGCGAACCGGCAGAGATGCCCATCTCTCCAGTAGTGCGCTAGCTATGTGTAATCATAAAACTATATCTAGTTCCCAAGCTTCACTGGCATGGACTATCCAAAAGTCAGAGCAGATCAGCAGACATGTTGGCTTAAATGAATCAAAAGATCTAGCTTAAACTACATGCATGGGGTCATGAGGAATGAATCGAAACACAATTCTGTGAGATTCTTTACTCCTAAACCAAAGCCTACCATCCATGATGCATGTTACTTCCACATGCAAATTGGTGATAGAATAAGTAGCTAGTAGCAATATAGTGGCATCGAACTCTCGTTTGCTGCCTATAAATGGAGTCGTCTGCTCACTGGTGGAGAAACCATCTTTCGTCGGTCGGCCGAATTCCACAATAGTCCCGGTTGCAATAAAAACCGGGGCTAAAGATCACTAAAGATGATCTTTAGTCCCGGTTAAAAAGGGTAACGGGCATATTTGATCTTTAGTCCCGGTTGGTAACACCAACCGGGACTAAAGATCCCGATTCAAA